TGATTTGATCAATGTCTCATCAAAAAATATCAATGAAAAAGCAAAAGATCCAGAGACCTTAATTAAGTGATCTTGCCAAAATTCCAGATCACTTAATTAAGGTCTGCAAAACCAAGATTTTTGGCAAACCTCCAGATCACTTAATTAAGGTAGCTACCTTAATTAAGGACTTTTGGAGGCTCTGGGTTCCATCAATTTCGCAGATCGAGAATGTGGGAGAATTTTGAGTTGTTGCCAGTAGAGCCGGATGCGGCTTAACTGCTACGCTCATGTTATGAGTGATGTCGGTAGGTTTGGTGGTACGGATCCACAATTTCGCCTGACGTGATTCGTCCGTGGGCAAGTCCAAAAATGGCACCATGTAACAACCAGAATTTGTTGTGATCTTCCTTGTTCTCGGTTTCGGATAGATAATGACCAATGAGCTCAATAAATGTGCCAACATTATGGCTGCCACGGATAAAAATGGCGATGGATGGAGCTGTGAGTTCGGCATGAACCACCATTCCTAACATGGAGTGATCATGGGCAAGTTGTTGGTGAGCGGCGATTCCTCCATGATCATCATGTGCTTCGCACACAGTGACTATATGAGCTGAATTACGAAAAGCCAAATGTGGCAAAACATGATAATCCAAATCTTGCGAACCCAGGCCGATATACGGCATTCGTAGCTGTCTTTCTGGCTGGAGTCGGCGTTTTCCGAAATTCGGATTGGCGCACCGGCAAACGGCCTTTTTGCCCATCAGGCAGCATCTGTACAATTCTAAAATGGTGAGAATTTCATCATTGGTAAGACCATCATACTCATAGTCAAGGAAAATTTCAGGGCGCCAAATTGGTAAAGCTGTTTGGTCTTGCGCCCAGATGAGTGTTCTTCTACCGTCGGTAGTCGACGGTCTCCTCCAGGGCGATAAATGAAATCTGTGAATGGAAACTCGTCAACACCATATTGAACAAAATTCTGGAAATAATTATTGCCAACCTTGCTTCCTCTTTTCAAAGCTTCTACAATATCTTCAAAATGTTCTTGTCGAGTACGTTCTTGCTCACTTCTTGTCGTCGCGCGGAAATATGCGGCTTGTTTAAGTACATGATCAATAATTTCACCAACAACAAAAGGAGAATCTTTCGAACTAGTACTTCCGGGCAAAAAAAGTTCTCCGAGTTTGGAAGAATAATTTTAGTATGCTATGGGCTTCTTTAGAAATAAATTCAATCGGGAAATGATTATAGCTACCACATGTTACTACCAACCACCCACTCTGGCCATGGACGATGATTTGGCAGATTTGCTTTCCTACCAGTGCCCTTTTTACTGGGAAACGCCGAATCGCTGGTTGTGAAGATTGCCAGCTATGTCAAAAGCATCTTGGCGGCATGAAATGGGGTCTGATTGGCATCATTTTCTACAACCAGGGGAGTAGTTTGTTGGTTAACAGACATGTGACTTAGGAAACAGAAGAGTGCCGATGACCAACCTGTGGCAGTCAGTGGTCCAGTTTCTGACCCTCCAGACGATGGGATGCATATGGATTACCAAAGTCACCCATCTCAAAGCGACCATACCCCACATACAGGAGCTGCATCTCTTCCCAAAACGATCTCAGCGCATCAAACCATTGCTGTGGCAACTACAAATGTTTTGTTTTGTGTTTTTCAAATACTGTTAAAAAATATAGCTTAAATTTAAACACCTGGGACGCCCAAAAAATCTAAACGCACTGGTCATCCCTTCATATCCCTTCGATTGCCTGAGGATGATCGCCTTCAGCTGGGCAGCTGGACAATTTTGCCACGTCATTTTCAGCTGATTCCTTCGATTGGGGCTTAGTGAAACGCATGAATCTTTCGAACCGATGCCTGCCAAGCGGCCAAGCTGCGAAAGCAACAAGTGGCAACATTTTGTCACATTGCCGAGAACAGACTCTTTGTTTGCGTGAAAACATTGGTCTTAGACTTTTTGTTTTCAAAATCGGGGTATCCGCTAACCCCATCACCCGGTACTTAGACTACTTGGACCTGGACCAAGGTTATCAAACCATGTGGTTGATAGCTGTTTCACCCAGAGCTGATTTAATTCACACGCTCGAGGCAGCCTTGGTAATGGAGTTTCACAAACATGTAGGATGTAGGAATAAGGAGGGCTCAGGAGGTGAAGGTGCACTGAATAAAAAACGTAAGGCACCACCACCTTGCTCTGCTTATGTTACAGGGGGTCGAGCTGATCAACTCCGAAGGGTTGGTTAGCACCAAGACTTTTGGTCGCCGCGCGTTGTGTCAAAATCATCACTGAGCACTTGCTGGCCTGCTGCAAGTTTTTCAATTTTCCACATGTCATACTTCCAGATTTCAGAAAAATCCATCTATATACTGCCACCCAGCATCACCCAGCATCCTGGCGCAACCCCTAAGGGTTTTGCATGTGTTGGCAGCTTTTTTTGGCGCTGAGGCCTGTTGCAAGCACGTGGTGGACACAGCCAAAAGTGAGGTTGAAAGCAACCCAAATGCCAGCAGGGCGATGCGAGAATTTGCATCGATTAGATTGGAGGATGCAGAGGTTGGCGTTCGCCGGGTTCTCATTAAATGTTGCTTGACTACTCCAATTCCAATTTCATGGATTGATTTGGGTGAAGAGCCCCACCAAAAAAAACTTTCCATGGGTCAAACTGTCAAGCTGGGCCCAGCATCTCTTAGACACTGGCCTTTTGCCACGTGTGCTGGTTGGCGTGAATGACTTTGCCACTATGATTTTTTTTGGACTGAATTTTGGTCAGGCTATGAAGAGATGGATGCTGGCGACCCGGTTTTTGCTTTAGAAAGAAATGGCATTGTTTGCCGTGACCGCTTGGTGCCCTTTTATTCGCACAGTGATGAAGGGACAACACTTCGCGATGCAGCCTTGTTGGGTGTTGAATGTCCATGGTGTCATTGGACGTGGCACCAGGTCTTTTTTGAGTTCAGGGAAACACCGTGCTCCAGTCCACCGACATGCAATGGGCTTGAACTACCTGGGAAACACGTGGGGCACCCATTGTCTCATTGCAACAATGATGAAATGTGTAGCTTCACCGGAAACCCTGAAAGTGTTGCTGTCTGCCTTTGCTGCTGATGTGAAAGATTTGCTGCACACTGGGATCACCAATGGTGCCGAGAGGGTATGGACGTACCATCTAGCTGCAAAAGGTGACCCACCAGCAATTTCCAAAATTGGCAATCTACCTCGGACTTTCGGGCATGCTCCGAGGGCAGCTCGCTCGAGGAAGCCTTGTAGAGGTGTCTGCTGGCTTTGCCTTGCAGGCCAAGAGCGAGATGATGCACATGGTCGTGAAGCTTTGCCTTATAAGGATATGTCGATGACACCTTGCTGGAAGCCTAGCATTCACAAAGAGCATTCCGTGGGAAACGATTCCGAAAATCCTGGAAGGCCTGGACCTGGAGGATGCAAGGGCACTTGATTTTTCTTCAAACCGATTTCTTCCACAATGCCCACTTGGGGACACTCAAGAGTTTTACGTCGCCCGCTCTTGTGAGTTTGGTTGAAGCTGACCCTCCTTTGCCATGTCTGGCGCATTGCAATCCCGTTGGGGCAAAGTTCCAAGAGCTGACCAGGATGTACAAAAGTTTTTTCCGACCGGGGGGGTCGCAAACCATGGGTCAATGAGTTGAATCGTGACATGGTGTGCTGGCCAATGTCTTCTGCTTGCCCAGCGGCCAAGTGGAACAAGGGCATGGCAACAGTGCAGATCATGCGGTTTATCGATTGGTTTGGACAAACCCACCTTGCTGATTTCCGGGATCCCGTGATGAAATCAATTGCTCTTGGGTTGCAACAACGTTGCTTTATTGTTTTTCGTATGTGTGTGTTTTGTAATTTGGCTGGCCCAAATTTTCCAACAAAGATTGCATGGTTTTGATGATGGGCCTGCTTCTGTTTTCAGGCTGCTGGTGCGAAGGCGATGAATGTGGCAGTGACCTTCCTCTACGACAATGGCTGAGAGCTAACAAAGCCAAAAAACTGTCCCGGTGGCTATTCTGCATCCGCGGGCAATATATGCCATTTTGGCACAGAAGAGTTTGGAAGCTGGCAAACGCCGCTATCCAGTGTATCCGAAAGGACATATGCTCTGTCATGCTGCCTTGAAATTGTTTCGCCTTTCTGAAAGGTGTCGCTGGGTGCTGCCTCCATGCCAGCAGCAAGAGGATTACATTGGAAAGCCATCTCGTATATCGCGAAAAACCAATGTTCGTCAAGCCCACCGAAGCATTTTATGGAGAAGTATGATCAACATTACGGAATCTTTAGCCCAGGCTGAAATTGATCAGCGTGGCAAGCATGCATGGCTCACTGATCCCTGTGACATTTATGCGTCAAGAAGCAGTGCATTCCAATCATATTTGTTTGCCTTTTGGCTTGCGTTGGCCATGTTTGGGTCAGGATCAGTGAGGGAAAATAGAAGATGGATGAAAAGTGCAGGCGTTGATCAGCTCGACCGCTCTAAGATGGAAAAAATGAAGGGAACACCACTTGTGTCAAAAAACCACCAAAATCAAAAGGTAACTGTTTTTAACGAAGGGGCGTATTTTGATGTTTCCATGTTGGTGACCATCGAAAGATGACCTTTTGCTCAAAACAGGTATCAAACCGGCTGAGGGTATATACGGTAACGACATTCAAATATGTGGAGGGCGGGCCAGACCGCGAGGCCCCGGAAGTAGTATGAAATACCAGTTCGTATATTCACATGTATTTACCGCATGTTTAAATGAATTGGATTCCGTATGTTTAAATGGCTGGGCGGGCCAAGGAAAACATTCCTGGAGGTAGTCTAAAGTACCTGTTCATATATTGAAAAGTCGGTATATTTAAATGTAGCTACCGTATATTTATATTATATATATATATATCTATATATTGTTTTCTTTATACAATCCTAATACTTCCTCATGTTTGTTGGTTTCCATGGTGGGTTTTAACTCAATCTACTCCTGCGCCACAGGCGGCCCGACGCGAGATGATTTCGGTCGCCTGTGCTGCTGGGTTTTCGGCTGGTTTTGGGACACCGTTGGGCGGAGTCCTGTGGAGCTTCGAGCTGAGTGGCCTGGAGGTCACTGGATGTTGCTTGGTAAACCACAAAGGTTTGCGAAAATAGGAGAAAAACTGAGAAAGAGAAAGGAAGAGAGAGAGAGATGACTTAATATGGTTTGAATCAGAAAATCAGATAGAATAAGCAGGGAATTGCAGAGAGACATTAACTGGTTGGTGTTCTCCAACAATTGGCAGCTGTTTGGGATGATGATGCCCACTGGCTCACATTTTAATATGGGGCGAAACCAGCAACCAGGGAAGCTGTGCTATTAGACGATTTACATTGGATCATTTGTGTCTGCAGAATTTGGTTTCAGGGGTGATTGATGCATGTTTGCTGCTGGCCACAAAGGGTCTTCCTAATTTGACACTAATTACCAGTCAAGCGAGACGAGTGAATTATGGTTGACAATGGTTCACATGGGTTGCAGATGTTACAAACAAAAGAGATCGCCTAGCCTTTTCTCATGAGTCCTTTCATTTTTCTGAGCATTATGCTGGCTCTGGGACCGGACACTGCCGCCGTGCCGAGGCAGCCAGTTTCCTCAGCAAACGCTGATCTCTGCCTTTCTGGCAGACATTGTGGCAGATCTGGTGGAGGGTATCAAAGGTCGGCAACATTTTTTAAGATGCAGTTTTTAAGGCTTCCATGTTGAATGCGGTCTTCAGCAAAGAGAACCCGTTGTTTTAGGGGAAATTCAGAGAAAAACCGTGGTTCTTAGCATCAGGAGTACAGGGATTTCCTGCGATTTATCAGACGACCTTCCGCCCAGTTGCAAGCCCGCCCCGGTGATTCTTTTAACTGAGTAAGTGGGGTGATGAAAGTTGGTGATTTTTGAAACAATTTCCCAGTTTAGGAGTCACCGAAAAAAACATGTGTTTCCGGCTAATTGTTCGAAACCAATCCATTGAATCCGTGAAAATTCAATGTTGTTTCATGAAGCCATAGTTCGCTCTATAGTATTTAAGTATACCAATCTATATCCACTATAAACCATAGCCATAGTTGTACCAAGCAGATTCTGATTTTTGACACCAACTTCTGCCCTTAAATCGGAGCTTGCATCGTCTCATTCGTCTCAGCTCGATTGTTTGATCCCGAAAAGTCACCGAGTCCGCTGAAAGCGCAGTTCGGCTGGTCATGAGGCGCACAAGGGCCCAACAAAAATATGCTGATGTCACACTTGTTGGATAGTAAATTAATATGAAAAAATGGGATAATAATGATAATAGTGACGATATAGATATAATACAATATTAATTGGAGAATCTGGGATATGAGTGGTAAATTAAAATGAATTCATGGGATAACAGTGAATACCAGGATACTATCCAGTGGGAATAATAATGATAATAGTTATACTGTAATAGTGACTTAAGTTGAATGAATGGGATAATAGTGATGATAGGGATAATACATGATAATATAATATTAATTGGAGAATCTGGGATATGAGTGATAAATTAATATGAATTCATGGGATAATAGTGAATATCAGGATACTATCCAGTGAGAATAATAATGATAATAGTGATATTGTAATAGTGACTTAATATGAATGAATGGGATAATAGTGATGATAGGGATAATACACTATTAATTGGAGAATCTGGGATATGAGTGATAAATTAATATGATTTCATGGGATAATAGTGAATACATATCAGGATATCATCCAGTGATACTAGTGATCACAGTGATTTCACAAGGGCCCAATATTTATCCATGAATTGATGGAATAATAGTGATAATAGGGATACAGTATTTACCCTCTGGTAAACTAACATAGCTATTGAACATGGCCATTTATAGTGGATTTACCAATTAAAAATAGTGATTTTCCATAGTTATGTTAAATTACCAGTGGGTATGGATTATTATTGATGGATATTTTCCGGCAGTCAAACGTGGCAATGAGAAAAAACCCTGTAAATGGAGGTGTTCATGGGACAATGATCTACAAATCGGGGATTGTCAATTGCCACTTGTGATTACAGGAGGGTTAATGTTAAGTGTATATTTGATAAGTACATATATATATAATATGTTGATTTTTTTTAGGGTACTTAAATGTTATTTAACTATCATCATATTCCATACGGATCCACCATGATCCACCCATACAGTAGCTTCTGGATCCATAGGGATGAGTTCGGACGATGATCGTCAGCTCCAAGATCCCTGGAATAATAAACCCATGGATAGTGAAATCGTTTGCTAAAATGATACCCCAATGATCCACAACCCAGCGGTTTAGCACAATTTATGTCGAAATTTATGGGTTCATCATTTCCATTAGGCGTTTTTCTATAGCGTTCCATATTTGATTTGCATCCTTTTGGCGATCTAAGCCTTGGGCCATGGCACATACAATTTTTCATATCCCCAGATCAATGGGTTGCAAACCCCTAAGTGAGTGAGAGGGTTCTAATAAATCATCAAACATTTGGGTAAACCAATTGGTGAAGGATATTCCAGTGCTAAGTTTTTTGCCATGCTTCTGTGAATACAGGAGGTGTCCTAAAATGGGGTACCCCCCAAATCATCATTTTTTTCAGGGATTTCAATTATAAAGCAACCACTTTGGGGGAACCCCATCTCAGGAAACCCCCACATGAGTCTAGCCGACTGAAAGCCCAAAGAACGACATCACATTGTTTGCTGCTCTTCACAACAAGCCTCTGCAGCTTTCTCGGATGTTCCCCGGGTGCAAGACCGAAATCGTGTTTCTGGAAATGGTGGGAATACAATGTGGGGCCCGCCAGATGATCCAGATAGCTAAGTTAGAGTGAGATTCATAGTTCATCGTAGTTCTATGTGCAAAACACGAGGAAGAAACTTATGATTTATGACAGCGTTCGACGGACCACATTTGAAACCATCCTATCTCCTTGGTGAGACTAGAATTATCCTCACAGATACATGTTATACATGTTGCTTGGCTGAAGATACACACTCATTTCACATCATTTGTTCATATTATATGTTATCTAGTTTTTAATCGAAGGTGGGTTCTTTCTGTGAGCACATGATCCAGTTCTATCCAATTGTGCAGAGTCTAAGCCAGCCACTTTATCCCCTACGGAATCCCCCAAAAAACCTGCTATTAACACAAACAACATATATATATTATTGATTATTTGATACGGTATCTTTTTAATATATATATATAGATATATGGAACCCCTAAAATACCTGATAATATCAATTAACACTTATCTGAAAATCAACAATATCACAATTAAGTAATGCCAATGTTGATTTTCCCGGACGGAATGAGGTCACCGTGTCACCGCTACTTGGGTCACTACCTTTAGGACCATCCGAGCGACCCGTTGAACAGTTGAACATGTGAGCCGACCCCATGCGCTGAAGATCTGAAAAGGTGCCGCGATGTCCCGGGAGATGTCCGTTTTGGGGTCATCACTTGAAATGGTGGTGAGGATGGTGAACTAGTGGTCAACCCCCTGAAAAAAAAAGTGATGTCTATGAAATGTGTTTGATGTTTTTTTTGGGAACGAGCTCCTTTGTACCAGAAATGCTTAGACCGATGTGCTTTTCCTTGAATGCCCAAGGCGCATGCACATTTGATCTCTTTAAGACTCATCACCCAATGAGTTTGAAGTTGATTTTGTTGATCAACATAATTTCATCTGGACATGGCCATTCTTCGCGGATTATATGTATGTATATATATATATATAAATATTATGTTCATCAGGTCATCCCTCCGGTTTTCGCAATTGACTGAGACGGGAACATATCATTGAACATATATATGATATACACATATGATGTTTTATCATGTTTTATCCTTACCATGTGCTGGCCCCGCAGCCATTGTACCCACGCAGTCGCGCCATCAATTCCATTGTGGCCGGGACCGCCTCCAGGTCATGGCTCCAACCCTGGTGCCTTGGCCGATGTCACCCATGGGATCCATATCTTGATCATTTGTATCACATATACCACATATACCTATGGTCAATTGCGATATTATATATATATGTGTACATGCATGCATTCCATGCATATATATATATACGGGTAAACATATATAGTGACCTCATGCCGTGACCTCACTGGACTCATGGGGAATGTATAGGGTTTAACATCGCTAATATAGTTTTATTTCAGGTTCGTGATATGTTATAATTTGCTCTGTTGATGTTTTTTTTACATACCACACATCTATGGTAAATTTGGGGATGTTCAACTATTTTTTCTCTCGCATTTTTATTGAAATGACTGAAATGCATGGGTTCGATCTTTGGTTGTTCGGCCCTTCCATGTGTGGTGAAAAAGTTTGAGAGCTCCATGGACAAAAAAGGAACAGGAATGACTTAGGATGACTTGGGTAGAATTACAGCAGGGTCCGAACTCAAGTAACCAATGACCTAACAATCCCACCAAGTTCGATCCCCAGACTGAAATAAATTGAAAAAAACCGTTGGTTGACTGGGGATTGCTCCAAACAGATCTAACATTAACATGACACTGATCTAACCCTGAACTGAGTACACCCAAGCTCAGCAATTTGGTGGTCGATGTTGTTCACAGTTCCGCAATTATTTCGAACCTGCATTCTTGTTGCCAGACAAGTAAAGGAAGGACCGTGGAAATTTGAAATGCTTTGACTATACATTCATGCGCGCCGTCTTCGTGCCTCTTTGCCTATCTGGAGTGCAGTATTTTGAATGGCTGACATCCGTTTAGTCTGTGATATAGTGTGAAAATAGTATGGCACACCATTCACCATTCCATCCAGGTTATCATCGGCCACTGTGGGCCCCATTTCGAGACAATTACAACGGACTTCTGCAGCGCCCAGGTTTTTGCATGCAGAGCCCACACCCGCTTTGGTGAGAGCATCCGGGTGGTGGGCGACTGTGACGCGCCACTTTGGCATGCATTGATCTGGCATGCCCATGAGTTTGAGTAGGCCCACACGGTGCATTTTTGGATATACCCCCCTATTTCATTGGTCATCTTCCCAGTTATGGTTGGATCCCCTTGGTTGACTCATGTCATCACTTTACCTTCCAAAGATAACAACATTTAAACATCCAAAAGATATTTGGACAGTGGTTTTCCATGTTTTTCTCAGCCAGTTTTGGTGCCCCATGGTTCCCCTAGCAATTGCCAGGCTGGGCAACTGGAGCCCGGCCAGGGCACCAGCCCTGGCCCTCACCACAGATGTCCGCCTGGCGGGTTTGGAGATATCTTGGAATGATGCAGTATGATTTAAGAAGATTGGCGCGACATCGCTCCAGTGACAAGACTGATGTTGCTGTTGAATGAACTCAGGCATGTGTTGGTTCAAAGAATCAACTCTTCCAGAATGCATCAGATTCCGATGGCAGTCATGTGATTTATTCTTTGCCATGGGATTTTTTTCAAGTAAAGTCGCGCCAGGCTTCGGGAAATCTCAAGTGGTTGGGGAACATTGAATGCGCAGAGGTGGGGAGCGTCAAGTTGTGCAAAGGGGCGGAACGTTGGTGAAAGGGGTGGACGTTTCAGACATAGACATCCAAAAATCAAGGGGGCACAGTTGGAACTATTGGGAAGCGAAGCAACGCGACACTTTTGTTGCAATCATATGGAGGGCAAGCACACACACCACAGCGTCTACACCGCATAC